ATTTGGAAAGTTCATGGTGATTTTCAATGGACGACGGTTGAACGACCAGATCAAAATGTTAATCGAAAATAATCAGTGCTACGCGCTTTTATACGTCGGTGGACAAAGCTCGAGAGAGCGAGTCGCGAAAAAAAAAGAAAGACGAAGAGAAGGAGGCAACGCGAGCGTTTAAAGTGCACCATTGACGATCATTTTCGTAATAGTCGGTGATGGAATTCAAAGTCAAGTACGCGGACCTTTGTCCGCTTAATTTGTCGTGCAGCTGAGCGTAATGACCGCGTTTGCCTTTGAACCTCGCGCATTCGCCTTTGCGTCGCGGTCGGTGTGTGAAACGTTATCGTCGTCGTCGGGAACGCTCCCTTCCGACGTTCGCACACGCAGCCGGTACGCGCACTGCGAAATAAAGAGACGTGTGCGCCACGTGCGCACATCCTCCTCTCGCGAGCGAGCGTGTTGCCATTAACGTGAACAAACTGTAATCGTATAGAAAAACACAAAGTGAAATGTGTTACCGAAATATGTGACGTTGTTCTCGCGTCGCATGTTTGCTTAACGCATTTAAAGTCAAAATTCTCTTGATTATGTTATGATGCCAGTATCCATTTATGTTGTCAATTGAAAGAGAAAAGGGCAAATAATTTGGAAACAATCGAATTATCGTAATCAAAACCTTATCGTTAATTTGATCTCCAACATAAAGCATGGCTAACAATGTTATTCCAGCGAATACGATTCGCGAATTAGGAGCACATTAATATCTCGTCGCGAAGACATTTGCGCTATTTTAGACGCGTGACGAGCTTTAAACGCCGCGAAAACCGACAGAGGAAAACCGGCATTACTTGGCAAATTTATCGCAACAAAGACAAGAATCGCGAGAATTCCCACATGTTAATTTCGATGCGTCTGGCGTCCTTGAAAGTCTATAATTACACGCCGTTGGAAATGAAAGAAATTCTCGGCAGGCCAGCATTCATTGATGTCGCTTTGTTGCGCCAATTTTTTTTATACGGACAAGATCGCAATGTACGTATGGCCATTTTTTTTTCAAGATTCGTTACGGGTCTCGGATGTACTTTTCATTGCACTAGAAATGCCATAGTAAATTGCAAAATTCACGGCTCGCGCTTGCGTTTAGCGAAATATATTCGATAAATGTTATGGCATTTATGACAGCTAGCATGCGAATACACGGAACTCCTCTCTTCCGTAACGGAATGCGAGAAAATGCATCGGCGCGCATCATGCAAAATTTTAGCGAATAAAATATTTAGAGGAACTTGGGAATGCCGTCGAGCAAGTCAAGAAGAACCGACTGATGTTTTCGCGAAGGTCTCTAAGCTCTTTTCGGGACCAATTCCACGGAGGAAAAGAAAAGAAAGCTCATATATATATATAGAAAGAGAGAGAGGGTAAGTGCATATAGCGAAAGATTGGGATTCGGCCTAGAGTTTCCCCGGGATCGACCCGAGTTCCCTGCTGAGAGGGCGACTGACCAGACTTACCCGGCGACGATTTTTATTGCTCGTCGTCTGTAGGGCTCGTCATCCTCCTCCACGCGAACTTTCTACGAGTTCTGTGCCGAGGATGCCTCACGATTCATGATATTAATTCTCACTTTTTTACCTATAACCTTTCACTCCTCGCCCACTTTTCTTGGCTTCATATCGACGATTCGTCTTTATTCCGAGTGGAGAAAAGGAAACGTTTTGTAAAAAAAGAATGCACGTCTCTCTAAGCCCTATAACTGGAATTAATGCGTCTAAAGAATCAAACCGTGTGTCGCTCGAGCGATCGTGGACACGATTATGGCTTCCGCTGCGAAGAAAGAACTCGAAGCGTACTGTCGGAGCAGTGATGTCGAGTGGGCTGTTTAACGTTTTCGTACTTACATCGTTATGCCGTGCATAAAAACATCTGCAAGCGATAAAACCTGTGCAACTCGATGTTTAATGATCGCCGAGCGATGACTCAGATCCCTCGCTCAGTTTACTTGCGTTCGATGTGCAATTTTGTGCTAGAAGTTTTTAATCTTCCGTCACACGCGACATTGTTGAAAAGATTCTGCGTCATCTGTAGCTTCGGTCAAACCAAATTTTTTTCTTCTTACGGTAAAACGTCGTCTCGCGAACTCGCCTTCTTTTGTCTCATTAGCGCCGTTTCTCTCTCTCTCTCTCTCTTCTCTCTCTCTCTCTCTCTCTCTCTCTCTCTCTCTCTCTCTCTCTCTCTCTCTCTCTCTCTCTCTCTCTCTCTCTCTCTCTCTCTCTCTCTCTCTCTCTCTCTCTCTCTCTCTCTCTCTCTCTCTCTCTCTCTCTCTCTCTCAAACGTCTCAAGTGCATATTGCGATCGCGACACGAGACGATGCTCGCTCTTCGGAACGACCCTGACGGAGTCCTCGAGTGATGATCCTGCAGACGGGTCTGAGACGATGACCAGAGGTGAGCATCATGTTTTTATTCAATAACAAGTTAAGATATTGATTTGTGATCTGATCTCGAAATCTCTTGTCAAATAGCACAGATGATATTATGAATTCCAAAAAATTTTTTCCGATAATTCAAAAAGGATTCTATAGAAGTATACATTTTGACTTTCGTGAATCCAAGTTGCTCTGAAACAAGTTTCTTATTTGTGATGAGTTCGAGAAGACTCGCTTACCTGCGAGTAATACGTGGCACCGTCGATAGATGGACGCAGCTGAGTTCCATTTCTTAACTAAAAACCATACAGAATAGGATAAAAGATGCAACATTATGAGATTTTTTAATCATGTTCTAATGAAATAATGATGAAGTAATGCCCTAAGATTTCATTCTGGTATCTCTGATGATGCCTTGAAGGTAAATATATAAAATAAAATTGGTTTTCGGGATAAAATAAAATATTTTGACAGTTCAGTTTTGTTCTGTGTAACATTAATTTAGGAATCTGATATTTCTCTGAAAGATATATCGTTGGTTATTCGTTGGTTATTCGTTATACTATCTAAAAACTATTTCAATTTTATTACGAATTCTTATAGACTATAAAAAGATTTCCTTTTGTATCTGAAAGAAGAACTCAGAATTGATGACATAAAAGTGAAAACCTGTGGAACTTTTATGAACGTTTTTAGATTAGAAATGACATTTTTAGATTAGAAATGGAATGGGAGAAGGATACATTTCATAATTTGGGAATTCAAAAGGAATTACTTTTTGGATTCTCTTTGCTCATTATCTCATTAGATCTAACCGAACTAAAGTTGTATAATTTGAAAAATTTCCATGGAAGGAAAATATTGTACTTCATTAATAAAACTTTTGCAAACATGTTATGATTATATGGTATGATTGATTTGTATAAAACGGTAATAAAAATCATACGTCATATATGCGCGCGCGCACTCACACACAGACACAAATGTGGATAGATATTAGGCATTTCAGTATGTAAGTATAAGTAAAAAGAATCAAAGATAATATTAGGAATTATTTATTATTTTAATTATTAATTAAATAAATTAATTATTATTTATTGAAAATTAGATAATAGTAGTGATATTAATGTGTGTGCATAATTGAATGTCTTCTTAACATTGTAAGCCGAAGAGAAATAAATAAATAAATAAATAAATAAATAAATATATATAGATAGATATATTCTATTCTATTTTAAACGTTCCTATATTATTGTATTGGCCATTAGCTGGGTGTCTTAGCACCTAGTCTTCTGCGCAGCCGGTGCACACAAGTCTTGTACAGCATGCGCTGCAGAGACGTCGCGCCCGATAAAGAGAAACGTGCGCGGCGAATCGATACTGCTGTGACACGTTGCGGTAGATTTCCAAAAGGACATAGACAGAACTCGAAGATAAAAACGAAGAATGGAAATACCGAGCGGCTATATATATGCGCAAGTAATATCGGAGGCTTTTAGCCGCACCACTCTTCGGTTACGCTTCTGATACACCGAATGATGGCCAATATAAGTTGTAGTGTCTTAAACCGTACATTACTTTCCACGAAAGACCGAAGTAATATTCGAATAACTCGCACAGTTAAATGCAATTCCGATGTAAGAAAAATTAATTTTCTCATCAACATTGGATAACGCGAAAAGGAAATCGAATTCGCACGGACATGCCACATCCGCCTAAGCCCATTATCCATTCATTTTCGAACATATGGAAAATTAGGGAGGCGCACATCTACAATCGCATCTAAAACGGTGCATTACCCTTTCCCTTCCACCATATAGATACACCTCGACATTGATCGTAGGTACGCGCGCGGGCGCGCGCGCGCGCGTTCGTGGGCGGCTCGATGAGAGAAGTCGTTTCTGATCCTCGTCGAGTCGCGTCGGACATACATGTGTGCATGGGAGAGGAATTACCGTCGAGAGAAGAGTGCGCACTCGGAATCGAAAATATCGGTTCTCTCGTACGAACGAATGTGGACGGGTAGACGGATGGACTATGGTCATCCCGGCGCGGATTCCGTTCACCAGGGTCGCAAACAACGACCGGCTGGCGCGAGCGGTTTGGACACGTCATGGCAGACGATGTGCTCGGGAAAGTCTGCAAATCGTGTTACATGGGTGGGAGAGAAAGAGGGAGACATTTATTGCACTCTGGAAAAGATTTTCCTGGGACACGAAAGGAGATACACGAAGAAACGAAATACGTAAGCGAACATGGTAACTTAAAATTCTTAACTTAAAATTCTCAAGAATATACCCGGTAGAATGTACAATTTATGTAGCTTGAAAAACGAAGCTAATTTTTTGTAAAAATTTAAGTCAACTTGGCGAACATTACAAGCGATTGTCGGGAATTACTTTGATTAATATTGCCCGCAAAATTAATTTAACAATTGTGAAATGCAATATCAATTGAAAATATAATTGTTGCTCAACGTGAAAAGTGTTCGATTTATATGGATTAATTTCGCTCTCCAGCATCCAATTACAAGACGATCAGTCAGAAGCAGTTACAGCCATATAAAAGGCAATCCACCTAATGATGTAATAACAATCATAAAGAAACTTTAAAATTAAATCATCAAAAAGAAAAAAGGAAAGAAGTAGAGAAGAAAGTCGGGAAAAGTAAAACAAAAAGACAAAGTCCGGTAATCGGAAAATAACGGGAAAGAGGGAAAGAGGGAAAGATCGACAGCGAGAGAAAGAGAGAGATAGAGAGAGAAAGAGATTGTGCGAGCGAGGGAGCGAATGCGGGGGTGGTGACCTTAGAGGAGGGAGGTTGGATGAAAAAAAACGAGAACGCTGGCAATGCGACGATACGCAGGCAGCGCGGCGCGGCGCGGAACCGCCGAAAATGCAATGCGCCGCACTGGAGCGACGACGTCGACGTCGGGCGTGGCGGATAACTGACCTCGCCTCGTCTGGCTCGGCCGCCCCTGACACCCCGTCGACGACCGTCAGTTTCCCCCTCGCGTCCCCTGGCGGCCCTCTCCAGTCCGACACCGCGACGTCGTCGGCCAGGGACGGCGCAACCGCATGGGCCGCCCGACCGCTCGTTTAAGGGGATACGCCTTTCGTCTTTATTTATTATTCGCCATTGCCGCCATCGCTGCCACCGTCGTCGTCGCTGCCGCATTGCATTCCGCGTTCGCGATATCTCGTCGCTCAAAGCGCGGAACTGCCGCAGGCAACGCACAAAGCGTCGCCATAAACAATGTTTAGCATTGAATAAAGAGAAAGAGACCGTGTACGTCGATAATTGACGGCTCGACGAAGGAATACAGGAGTTTCGAACAGTGAAAACGATTATTTTTCTATTTTTGTTTGGAAAAAGTCGCAAGTGAAAAGGACATATTTCTTGTTTATACTAATGTAAAATAGGTAATAGAAATGATGACGTTAAAGTATCTTTGAATACTTTTGTCCTGAAAAACCAGTTTCTTGAAATTTGATTGCTTCATTTGCTTTATACTGTTGTTTTTTTTTCTTGCATAATAATTTTAGCCGCATATATATATATATATATATATATATATATATATGTGTATAGTTAATATATATATATATATATATATATATATATATAT